CATAGAGTTGGAAGAGACCACAAGGGCTATCCAGTCCAACCCCCCTGCTATGCAGGAACTCACAATCTAAGTAAGCACCCCCAACAGATGGCTATCCAGCCTCTGTTTAAAAACTTCCAAAGAAGGAGATTCCACCACTCTTTGAGGCAGCATATTCTACTATCAAAAAACTCTTACTATCAAGAAGTTCTTCCTAACATTGAAGTGGAATCTCTTTTCCTGTAGTTTGAATCCATTGCTCCAGTCTTAGGGGGGTTTAGACTGTCAGAAATAGTGCAAATTGAGTCCACTTTTAGGGTTAGGGTTAGGGTTAGGGAATCATGGGAACTGTATTTTATTGTGACACCAGGGCTCTCTGACAGAGAAGGCTCAATGTCTCACAAAAAAACCAATTCCCATGATTCCCTAGCACTAACCCTAACCCTAAAAGTGGACTCAATTTGCACTATTTCTGGCAGTCTGCAACCCCCCTTAGTCTTTGGAGCAGCAGAAAACAAGCTTGCTCCATCTTCAAATGCAACCCTAAGGATGGCCTCTGGTAACAATGGTAGTGATCATTAAGTGTGATACATTAAACATCAACTCCAAATATAGCACAGACAAACTTTATCAAAGTATAGTAGTGCTCCAGTCTTGAGATGCCTCCCTCTCAATCTGAGACCAGAAAAAAGGGTCCAGGTACTGAGAATTGGGAACCTTTGTGCTACTGCACCTCTGTCTTGTTTGTGGGCTTCTCTTGTGGGATCTGGTTAGCTACTCTGGGCAGAATGAGCTTTGATTAGGAGTTCCTGCATGGCAGGGGATTGGACTAGATGGCCCTTGTGGTCTCTTCCAACTCTATGATTCTATGATTCTATGAATGCTGAGGGAGGAAGCCAGCATACCTCCTGCAGAGCTTGAAAAAGTTTCTGCACTCTCCCAGCCAGCATGGGAATTGTTCCCTATTACTGGCAAGCTGCTATGTATCAGAACTTTCAGATCTTGTTGGACTCTCATTCCCATTGTCCTTGACCATGATGGATGAGGTTGATAGGAGCTGCAGTCCAGCAGGCCTCTGGAGGGCCCCTGTACTACAACTTTGGTATATCTGTAAGACACATATCAGTTCTCAAGAGATATATTAAGACATGGGAAAACACAAGAAAAAAATAATAGGGGAACTCTCCCATGTTTTCCTCTCACCGCCAAAAAAACACAACAAAAAAACCTTTTCTCCCTTGGAAAAAATGAAGAAGAAAGGGATTATGGAATATTTTCATGGAATTATTGTCCTAAGAACATTTCTACATGTTGCTGGTCTTTAGTTTCCCAATTTCCCTGAACTTTGGCTATGCTGGCTAAAGCTAATGGGAGTTGTAATCTGACAACATCTGGAGGACTACACATCATTTTTGTCGTGAAAAAAATTGCAAAAAACATTGTTGGTCATCTTGTCACATAATAATAGTTCAGATACAATCTGGGAACTTTAGTTTTTGGACTACAGCTCCCAGAATCCCCCATGCAAGTTAGCTGGGATATTGTGTGACTTGTAGTCTGAAAAGTAAGGGTTCTAAGCTGTGCACTGCTATAGTGAAGGGGGAATCCGTGGTTTGTGTTGTTAAGATACAAGGCATCAGGGAGCCTGTTTCAGAAAGTAGTTCTGTCAGCCCATTGTCCATTCAGCCATGTTCCCTTGACCGATGCATGACTTCAGGACTCATATAAGATATAGTCTGGTGGTTGTGGGCGCTTTGCCTCTGCTTCTTCCAACAGTGAGAGAGCAAAGAGGAATGGTGGGGAATAGAAAGAGGGGGCAGGTGTTGGGCATCAAAGGATAGGACCCCAGGGGCCGGGATCAAAGGCAGGAATAAATATCTTCTCACACATCACAAATTTCATGATTTGAAGTCTCTGGTATCCTTCAGCAGTTTACACAGGTGCAGCATTCCTGCTCTCGGGGTTTGCTCTCGTGCCAGCACATGCAAATGGCTTCGTAGGAGTGCCAAAATCCTCCATGTGGACAAGGTCCAAGAAAGGCATAACTCCCCTAGAAGGTTTCCATTGCAGTATCGGATGCAGTCTGTTTCATCTCCAGGTGAAGCCAAGATCAAGCCCTTTGGTGCTGTGTATTTCTTAAAGAACTAGTCATGCTGCCTTAGGCCTGGTCACTCTCTCTCCATCTGTCTCAGTATGGTCTACTCTTAAGTGTCAGCAAGTCTCTCCAAAATTTTAAACCAAGGTATCTCCTGTCATCTATTGCCTCATCTTTTTAACTGGAGGCACCAGGGATTCACTATGGGGCTTTCTACATGCAAAGCATGTGCTCTACCAGAAGTTACGGTCACCTCTTCCATCAGGTTGGGTGATCTTGGGCTAGTGTCTTCCCATGCACACTCTGACCTACCTCACAGGGTTGTTGTGAGGATAAGTCAGGAGGAGGAAAGCCTTGGGTGCATTGAAGAAAAATGGAATATAATTGTACCTAATGCATAAATAACTCTGTGTCCTTTCAGATACTGTTGGACTCCCACTCCCATAATCCTTGAGCTATGATGGCTGAGTCTGATAGGAGCTGAAGTCCTGCAACTTGTGGAGGGTTCCTGTACTACAACTTTGATATGCTTGTAATAAACATAGCAGTTCTCAACAGAGATATGAATGCCTAGGAAAACACAAAAAGAAAATTGAGTCTCCCCGTCCCCTAAAGTTATTTTCTCCTTTGAAAAAATGAAAAAGAAAGGGATTATGGCATATTTTATTTCAGAATTACAAATAAAATATTTAACTTCACGTATTTACTATCCTAAAATCATTTTTAAAAGATATGTAAAGGGAAGAGTTTTGGGTAAGGCATGATGTAGTGGTTTCAGCATTGGAAGTATCTGGAAACCAGAATTCAAATCCTCACTCAACGTTGTGCAAGTTGTATTCTCTCAGCCTCAGAGGAAGGCAATGGCAAACCCCCTTTGAACAAATTTTGCCAAGAAAGCCAGGTTTGCTTTAGGGTCTCTATAAATCAGAAATGTACAACATCAGACAAGCTAGTTAAAAGTATGCACAATGTCCTTGTATTGGTTTTCTTTTCTTGGTTCGTTTTACAGGAATGTGTGTGTTATGTCTACTGGACACTATGAAGTAGCAGTGGAGACGAAATATTTTTCTCAGTTTACTGATGTTAATGGTTTCTTCTGGTTTGTGTTGCCTTCTCCTCAAACTGGTAAAACCAAAGAGTTTCCTTATAGTTCAGATATTCCTTACAGTTCAGGATCTTGAGAGAGAAGTTTGTAGCATAAGCTTTCTGTCAGTCTCCAAAGGGCTAAAAGTTCCTAACACAGCTATGTTTTTGAATTCAGGACTTTGTAGTTCCATTTGTAACAAAACAAACATGTAAAAGTAAGTTCCATTTGTAATTATTTTCTGAATAAACTGTATTGCTAACTTATCAAACATGATAATTTTATGTCAAACCAAGCTATATACAATGTTTTTATGTTCCTAGAGTAACAGAGAGTAACAGAATGGCATGCCATCAGTAAAGGGTGTTAATACTGTATTTTTCAATTTTTCTGAAAATTTCCATCAGTTTGTGTTTTTTGGGAAGGGGGACTGGGGAAAAAGACACATTTTTCCCATGGCTTCAAAATTTCCAGAAATATTACATCTTTAGTTGTAAATGCAAAGCTCACATCTCCTTTAACCATAATATTTCTATCATCTTAGCAGGTGTGGTTTGTTTCCATCAAGGGCCATATGCTTCCAGATGGAAGCCAGAAATCTATAGACATATACTTATTTGTGGCAAATGGTTTTCCCATTGAGATCTAATGAAAAAACGGAAAGACTGGGAAGGCAGAGGATTAGTTGGGACTGTCCCCACTAAATCAGGATAGTTGGAGGGTACGAGTTTGTGATTTTGGGGTGGGTTTCTCATAGGACAGCAGACCTTTGGGAGTTACGCATCCTGCACTCACCACAGGAATCTCAAGAGTTGTTGTCCAAAATAGGAGGCACTTTTCCAAAGTCTGCATCAGATGTCACCCACCTCTTTACTCTCATTTCCAGGTATTTCTGTACAGATTTAGGACATCCATGTCATCACCATAAAAGAGGGAATGTATTGTCAAGCGAGAGGATGAAAGAGAGCACAAATCAGGCTAAGGTTTGGGTGGGTGCATTTACATTTGCTGTTGTTATGTGCCTTCAAGTCATTATTGACTTATGGTAACCCTAAGGCGAACCTATCACAGGGTTTTATTGGCAAGTTTATTCAGAGGGAGTTTCTCATTGCCATCCTCTGAGACTGAGTGTGACTTGTCCAAAGTCACCCAGTGGGATTTAAGTGGCCAAAGCGGGATTTGAACCATGGTCTCCAGAGTCATAGTCCAGTGCTCAAACCACTACACCACACCGGCTACATCCCCAGAGGCAAACTGCAATAAAACACAAAGACATTGCACCAATGAAAGGAAGACAGCAACCAGGGGAAGTGTGCCAAGCATTCCTCTCCTTTTAAATGTTTTTTTCCCCACTTTGAATCAGAGTTGAACTGGACAAAGCCCTTCAAATGGAGGATCCTACTGTGGCATTAGATTCTTAGCTTGATCTCCACAATGTATTCACCAACCTACATATAGAGATTTGCATTTCATTTTTTGCTACTGCTTCTGATCTCCCACATGAGGGCTTTAGCAGTCCTCTTCCCTGTGTTTAGACATTTCAATATTTACTAGAATTGCAATGGTCCAGTCAGTCCCTGAGACCCTTGAGGCCCAGTGAGCGATGTGTTCTTGCAGATGGTGGTCTTTTGGAACTGTGTTGTGACACTGAACTTTCAACCTTGGAAACCTTCACTTCCTTGTGTTCATTTTCATTTCCATCTTGTGGTAAATCAGCATCTGCAACAGGTGTTTTAGTCGAATATCAGCTGGCTTAGAGATCATCATCCAGTGAGTTGCTGTCTGTTTATCAAATTAGCTTTTAGGGAGATGATGGGAAGGAATGGATACATTGGTGTGCAAAGGATCCAGATACATGCCTAAATGCAGAAATCAGTTTCCTGAAGAATGTCTTTTTATGCAGTGTGTGTCTGTGTGTACGCACTTGTACACAGACATACCTCTGTTAACAAAGCCTTTGACAAATTAGCTCCTTTTTCCAAAGTCATGTTATGCCTGCCCATCTTCCCTTATGTTTTCATCTTCCTCATATCTGGAAACTTTTTAGCTGCATCAGCTCTGGGAGGATGATGAAGGAGGCCTGGAAAAACACAGACTTTCAGTGTCAGGTTGCAATAAAACTTGAGCTGGGAAAGAATGAGATTCTACTCTAGCCAATCCAACTGTAGCTATGTGTGCCTGCCTGCAACAGTCAAGGCAAAGTGCAGCTGTCTCCAGAATCCCTTACCGAGCATGTGTAAACAGCAAAATGGAGAGAAAAGGAAAGAAAGATAAGCCTACCAGTTACACCCAACATGTTTTTAAAAAGCATGGGCATGATACAATACAGGATTCAGAAGATATCCTCTCTCTTTTATTATTATTACATCTCCCACAGTCATCCCACTATAACAGGATGAATCTGTCAGTTTTACTTTTTTCCATATTCTGTTGTTTACTCTGGGGAAGAGGTGGGTGGGCTTCAGCCTTTTAGACGTTGGATTGCAACTCCCAGTGTTCTTTACTATGTTGGTTAGGGCTCACGGGAGTTATGGTCCACTCCTACTTTAGGGGTTTCTAACATTTGTACTGGTAGCGTCATTCTTCTGGGTTTAGTCCAATTTTGCAAATTGGCCAACAAAATAGCATTCACCTGCCAGAGTTTCTCAGAGTAGAGTCAGAGAAGCCCACCTTCCTACAGCTGCTCAGTACAGGTCTTCCCAAGTTACTTCCTGAAAAAGTAGCTTTCCCAAACTGTTTCTTTCTTCTTCTACTCATATCCACTTACTTGGAGAGGCAAGAGTATGCCATCCTTCCTCTTCTAGGCTGCTTGCAATTCCTGGTTGCCTATCCCATTGTGAGAAAAAGGCAGGATATAAATCTTGAAAATAAATAAATAAAATATGGCTACCAAGCTAGGTCTTAAAAACAAGTTTGCTTTAATATACTACTTTGGTACTTTTTAAAAAGGCAATAAGCAAACATGAAATGTAAGCAGCCCTGTTGTATCCATTCATTCGTCCATCCATCCATTCCTTTATTTATATTTTGCCTTTCTCCCAGGCTGGGACTTGAAACAGCTGACAAAGAGATAGAATACAATAAAACCCATATAGAAAAAATACATTCAAAATCAAGATTAAAACAGTATTAAATAACAGAATTAAATCCTATTGAAATTGTACTTTAAAACAGATTAAAAATGATAACAGCACCATAAAAGTCATTTTTGTTAAAATCAGTTTCCAAAAGCTTGCTGGAAAGGAAAACAAAAAAGGAGCTATCCTAACTTCCCTAGGAAGGGAGTTCCAATGCATGAGAGCAGCCACAGAGAAGGCCTTCTCCTCTTTTCCCACCAACTGTGCCCATGAAGGTGGTGGGACAGAGAAGTGCCTCCTTTGCAGATCTTAGAGGTCAGGCAAGCTCATATAAGAAGATTTGTGTGTGTTGACTTATGGCGACCCCATGAATTTCATTGTTTTCTTAGGCAAGGAATATTCAGCGATGGTTTCACCAGTTCTTTCCTCTGAAATATAGGCTGCAGCATGGTTCTTCAAATAGCCTGGGCTAGAGCTGTGTAGAGACATTATAAGTCAAAACCAGCCCTTCCAGGAATTGTGCCTGGAAACAGACCAGTGGAGCTGTTGCAGCAATGGAGTTATGTGCTCAACCAGCACCCATTAGTAATCTGGCTGCAATTCTTTGAATCAGTTGAAGTTTCTAAACACTTCTATCTATATCTGGCCAAAGGCCTGTTTGCTGCAAGGTTTTGATTCCACAGGGACCAAACAATTGCCTGTGAGAAACACACCAGGACAACAGGCATTAATTGAATCTCTGAATCTCCCTGAATCTCTCTGCAGTTGTCCTACAGCTGATTTATAAAGGCATGAACAAATCATGCCAAGAAAAACCCATGATTGGTGGTTTGCCTTAGGGTCACCATAAATTGGGAACAACTTGATGGCACACAACACACATACACACTGCCTCTGGTATTGGATATAATATATAGCCATCCTGACTTGTAGCCATGAATTAGGAGGTGCATGCAGGTCTGTTTTTGTGTGTGTTTGTGTGCCATCAAGTCACAACTTATGGCAACCCTATGAATTTCTTAAGGTGTTCTTAGGCAAGGAATACTCGGGGGTGGTTTTGCTAGTTCCTTCCTCTCAAATACAGCTTACAGCACCTGGTAGTCGTTGGCAGTCTCCCATTCAAGTACTAACCAGGGCTGACACTGCTTAGTTTTCATGATCAGATGGGATCTGATGTTTTTCTTTAAAAAGGCCAGTCTGATAAATGAGGTAGATCCCCAATCAGAAACATTTGTCCATGTTTCTGGGAACTTTACAGCATTCTCACATATTTGGCTTGAAATCTTTGTGCTATTATTATTGACTTCTTCAACATCATTAGGCTGGCAGTCATGGCAAATGAGCGTGTAAAAGCACTCACACTCACATGTGTTTGCGTGCATGTCCCCTATTTCAGAAAATGTTTCACAGTGCATAATATTTACCCAGCAGACTAGTTTAATTTGCCCGGAGCTATTTTGGTCTATCCCACAAATATGTGTGTCAGTCTTTATGAAAAGTAGGCACTGTGTCGTGTGTGTAGGGGAGATTTCAAAGCACAGATAGTGTCTCATGTAATACTAAGTAAAGAAGATCATCAGAAGTTTCACAGACTGGTTGGTGGGGGTGGTGATAGAGAATACATGGATATTAAATCTTACTGTGATTTGTAAGACACAATTGAAAACAATAGGATTGTGTATCTGATCTTGTACAGGTTGCTGATCATTGTGTATCACAGGGGTCCCCAAACTACGGCCCATGGGCCGGCCCCGGCCCGTTGAGGCCTTCTTACTGGCCTGTGGCTGGTCTTGCTGCCTCCGCTCGCGCGCACCACCACACACCATTTTGTCTTCCAAAATAGCATCCGGAGTCGGGTGCATGCACTCGGCGTTGCGCACGCATGTGCACGACTCCGAGCGACATTTTGGAATACATAATGGCGTCCAGCATTGCTCACGGATGCGCACGACTTGGGTGCCATTTTGGAACACAAAATGGCACCTGACTTCCAAAATGGCACCTGAGTCGTGCGCATGTGTGCACGCACGCGCCTCCGTCCCCCCCCTCCCCCGGAGATCTGGGGGCCAGTGAACCGGCCCCCAGATCAAAAAGTTTGGGGACCCCTGGTGTATCTGATCTTGTACAGGTCGCTAGAGAGAACAGGAAGGTTCGAGTGACCTTTCCCCTGCATTTCTAAACATCTCAGCAACAAAGTTCACCCCACTAATTATACCTGAAAGCATGTAGGGATGGAAAGAATATTTGAAAATACAGTTTTCCCTCCCCATTCATGGGGGATCTGTTCTGGACACCCCCCACGAATAGGAAATAATGTGAATATTGGAGACCCATTGAGGATAATGGCGGTATGTGCCTGTGCATGCTGCCGTATGCGGACCACAGGCGCGCACACCATTTTGTCCCTTGTGGTTTCCCATCCTCCAAAGACTGAGGGATGCGGATGGGATGTCCATGAACCACGAGGGATGCCTGTATTCAAAAATGACCCAAAATCATATTTTTCGAGTATCCAAATACCCTGATGAGAATAATCCTGGACTGACTATAATCTCTATAGTTTGGTATTTACTATGCACAAAATTCATACAGAATGCATAGAAAACAAGTTTTTCTGCACAGAAAATAGTGTTTCTGCACAGACTAGAAGTAATTCTTTTGATTACTTTTATAGCGAGAGGAAAGTGTCGGCTGATTACTTAGCTGTGTTTTGTATCACAGGCCAGCTCCTTGTGGAATTGTTTTTTAAAGAAAGTAAGGGCCTTAGCAGACTGCTAGAAATAGTGCAAATTGAGTCCACTTTAACTGCCCTGGCTCAGTGCTAGGGAATCATGGGAACTATATTTTTTTTCTGAGACATTGATCCTTCTCTGTCAGAGAGCTCTTGTGCCACAATAAACTACAGTTCCCATGATTCCCTAGCACTGAGTCAGGGCAGTTAAAGTGGACTCAATTTGCACTATTTCTGGCAGCTTGCAAAGGCCCTAAATGTATCTGTTTTAGTTGCTTTTGAATAATGGGGAATAAGTGACACGTGACTTGAAGCCCCATAAACACACAGAGTTATTGTTTAAAATTATAGCTTAAATACTAGGGGGATTGGATATGTAACATACTCCTTTTTATAATTACTTAATTCTTAATTACTAAGAACTTTCT